CCTTCCTTCCTTCCTTCCTTCCCTATTTATCTCTTCTTATTTATTGTTTTCCTTCCTTCCTTCTTCCCTTTCCTTCCCAATCTTTATTCTTTATTATTCTTATAACATAATTATAAATATATGTATTTCATCATTGTATTGTTTATTTATTATTCCTTATTCTTTCCTTCCTTTGACTCTCTCCTTCCTTCCTTTCTTTCCCATTTATCTCTTCTTATTTATTATTTGTTTTCCTTCCTTCTTTCTTCCCTTTCCTTCCCAATCTTTATTCTTTATTATTCTTATAACATAATTAAAAATATATGTATTTTATCATTGTATTATTTATTTATTTATTATTCCCCCCCCTTTTTTTTCTTTTCTTTTTTTGCTGTAACAAAAGACAGAGAGCCAAAAGTAACACCTTGTGCTGAGCTTTACAGTTTCGAACCCCAGACACATGGACCTCATGTCCAAAGATGGAGAAAATTATTTTTTTGGACACCCAGAAACTTTGCTAGCTGGGGGATTCTGTGATCTGTTGTCCAGAAAAAGAACTTTTCCAAATTCTGAGATGGTTGGATCAAAAAAAGAGCACCTCCCTTCTCTGTCCAATATCTGGAAACAGTGGGAACCGTGGCCATGTTAGATCCTTCCTTCCAAAGTTTGGACTGCAACCCAGAATAGATGCTCTTCTCGACTGAGAACGAAGCCCCCCCCCCCCCCCCCCCCGCACCCAAACTCACCGTGATCATGTAGTCCTGCAGTTGTTCCAGTCCAGTGTTGCTTTGGTCGCTCCCACTCCAGGCTGTGGCCAGGCTGTGGTGCGACTGGTGAAAGGAGGGTGAGGATCCACCACTGCAATAGGCTTCAAATGTTTCATGGGAGCCATTGCTATGAGAGAGAAGGAAGCGGATTAGCAACACTTCCAAACCTGGGCTAGCAAGCAACCCTTCTGTCGCACCTGGGTCAAGGCTGTTTGGTTCCCCCGCATCCCACTCCTATCCACCCATCATCCCCAACCTGCATGTGACCCTGCTCTTTTGCAGGACTAGTCTTTGCCAGGGTGCTTTCAGAGCAGGAAAATATATTCAACACCTTGTTGCGTGCCTTCAAGTCATTTCTGACTTATGGCGACCCTAACACAAACCTATCACAGGCTTTTCTTGGCAAGTTTCTTCAGAGGGAGGTTGTCATTGGCATCCTCTGAGAATGTCTCTGTGTTTGACTTGCCCTAGTGGGTTTTTACATGGCTGAGCAGAGATTCGAACCCTGGTCTCCAGAGTTGCAGTCCATCACTTAAACCACTACAGCACACTGGCTCAACACCTACTCACAGGCATTCCAGGTATTTCCATGGAGAGAAGCAAGACTTACAAGGAGCTGCAACAGCTGAAATCCGCATCGTATCCATATGTCCCATCAGTCCGACAGCTTTCACCTGAGAGAAAACAAGGAGTGTGGTGGAGTCTCCTTCTTTGGAGGTCTTCAAACAGAGGCTGGATGGCCATCTGTCGGGGATGCTTTGATTGGGAGTTCCTGCATGGCAGAATGGGGTTGGACTGGATGGCACTTGAGGTCTCTTCCAATTCTTTGATTCTATGATTCTATGAAGGCAAGGGGTAAACTCCTGGAATTGAGTGAGAGGCAAAGCCTTGGACTGGTTCAACCACAGCTGGCCAGAATACTCTGGGCTGCTCCTGAGACACCATGATTCGGGACTGACTCAAGGGCAGTTAACAGCAAAGGAACTGGGAATAAGGAACTAACTTCAGCCTTGTCCCCTTGTTCATCCAGGAAAAGAGATTCCACCTCAACATTAGGGGGAACTTCCTGACAGTAAGGGCTGTTTGACAGTGGAACACACTCCTTCAATGGAGATTTTGGTGGAGTCTCCTTCTTTGGAGGTCTTTAAGCAGAGGCTGGATGGCCATCTGTCGGGGATGCTTTGATTGGGAGTTCCTGCATGGCAGAAAGGGGTTGGACTGGATGGCCCTTGGGGTCTCTTCCAACTCTATGATTCTATGATCCATTGCTACTGACAATAGACAAACATGGAGCAGATGGATTAGCAATCAGACCTAGTTTAAGGAGGCCTCCTTCATTCACAAATACTCACTCCGGCTGGATAGCCAAGGCCGCTTCGGTGTGGATGCGTAGTGGTAGCCGGCTCGGTCCACGCACTCAATGGTTTGGTCCCCATAAATGATTTGAAACACCTGGCAGATAAGCGCACACGATTCCTCGGCTGTGTCCTGCATCCCAAGGAAGAAACAGTAGTCAGAGCTGTATTCCAGAGTTGCTGGACAGGTAAATACAGCACAATCCCACAGGCTGGAAGCATTCATATTTTGAACTCCACTTCCTCCGGCTCTCATGGTCAGCCTGGGCTTTGGTCACAGTGGCTGGGCAGGGTGACCAGATGTCCTAACTGCAAAGGAGGACAAGGCACTGCAAAACGTAGGACATTTAAGAAAAAATGTAGGCCATTATCAAAGCAAAGCTAAAAGCACTCATATAAATATAAATGCATGCTTTTTAGTCCGGCTCAAAATGGAGGATATTTTGGAATTCCTCCTGGACAGAAGGTGAAATGAAGGACATGTCCTGGAAAAGGAGGATGTCTGGTCAGCCTGTGGCTTGGAGACTGATGAGTTGTAGTCTTAAAAAGGAATGGTTTCATGCTCTGTGCAATCCGAAACCTATCTCATGGTTGCAACCATCCTTGCCTTTGCAAGGTTACCATGAACTGATAGGAAAAGTAAGCAATTCAGCGCAGGGTCAGTGCATGCTTTTAAAAGTAATCCAAGTTTGTAGCCCTTCAGGATAGAGCTATGGCTTAAAAATGTGTGGCTGGTGCCTGGGGAAACTTCAGAAGCCAGTCAAAAGGGCAGAGATAACTTTACTGCATCCACATGTAGAGATTTATGCTATGCAACCCAAGCCTTGACTTCCCAAATGCTCCAAATGTCACGGGACTCAACTACGGTATCTATCTCTCCCCTGCTCCATTGGTCAATTTGTTTGGGATAATCTAAATCTGTATTCCTATTAGTTCTATCTTCATGAACATGAAATTTGTGTCTGCATCTGTGTCTGCAAGTCACCTGTGGAATTCATAGGCTTTTCTTAGGCAAGGAATCCTCAGAGGTGGTTTTGACAGTTCCTTCCACTGAAATATAGCCTACAGCACCTGGTATTTGTTGGTAGTCTCCCATCCAAGGGATAACCAGGGCTGACCCTGCTTAGCTTCCAAGATCAAATGGGAGTGGGTGCCTTTAAGGTATTTAGGCCTTAATGTGAAACTTAGCACTTTCCAAGAAACATCTATAAACTAGATTTGTTGGCGTCCGTTTCACTGAGAATATAATTAATGCTTCCAAGACAGGAGGAGTGACTGAAGCACTCTGAGCTGAAGGTCCATGTATGTTGGTTGTTGCGTGCCTTCAAGTCGCCTAGGTCTCCTGGGGTAAAGTCCACCTGCGTCCATCCTCAGAGCCAGTGGCTGGATCGGGTGAAAGTACTTCTGACTGGGGCCTGAGATGACATTTCTGTCTCCTCCCTCCAGCCAGAGAGCCTGGGACTACAGGAAAAAAGATTCCATCTAAACATTAGGAAGAACTTTTTTGGGGTTCGAGAGTGATTCAAGAGTGGAATTCGTTCCCCTGAAAGGTGGTGGAGTCTCCTCCTTTGGAGGCTTTCAGACAGAGGTTGGATGGCCATCGGCCACAGGGAGGGCTCTGATGATGTCTCCCTGCATGGCAGAAGGGGGATGGATTGGATGGCCCTTGGAGGTCTCTTCCAACTCTGTGATTCTGTTATTTTATGACAGGGGCTTGTGGCAGGGGTCCTGATTCTGATGGTGGAAGCTGGATGGATCTCTTTCACCTGCTCTGACTGCTGGGTCTTAAGATGGACCAGGGTGGCATTTACAAAGGTTTCCAGTAAAACTACACAGGGGGGTTGCAGACTGCCAGAAATATTGCAAATTGAGTCCACTTTTAGGGTTAGGGTTAGTGCTAGGGAATCATGGGATTGGTTTTTGTTTTTTTTATACATTGAGCCTTTTCTGTCAGAGACCTCTGGTGCCACAATAAACTACAGTTCCCATGATTCCCTAACCCTAACCCTAAAAGTGAACTCAATTTGCACTATTTCTGGAAGTCTGCAACCCCCCATAGTCTTACTGAATACAGACCATTTATGGATCCATGGCGTAGTGGTTTGGGTGTTTGAGTATGATTCCAAAGACCAGGGTTCGATTCTCAGCTTGGCCATGAAATTCACTGGGTGACCTTGGGGAAGTCACATACTCTCAACCACCTCAGGGGAAGACAATGGCAAACCTTCTCTGAACAAATCTTGCCAAGAAAACCCCATGATAGGTCATTTAGGATCATCATAAGTCAAAAATGACTTGGAGGCACAACAACAACAACAACAACAGTACTACATAGTCTTACTGAATACAGACCATTTATGGATCTATAACTCTATTTATTGTTATTTATTTATTTCTAAGATTTATATCCCACCTTTCTCCACAATGGGATTCCAAGTGGGTTACAATATTTTAAGAAGACAGTCTTTTTAAAGACAATACGGCGTATAAAACTACTTTTTAACCTGCAAAATCTGGGGTTAAAGTGGGGGGGTCGTCTTATACGCTGGGTATAAGGAGGTTCATGGTAGGTTTGCCTTAGTGTCATCATCAGTTGGAAATGACTTGAAGGTGCACAGCAACAACAACAACAGTTTTGGAAGTCATACTCTTCCCAAACTCTATATTTTAACTGGAAAAGTGGGGGGTCGTCTTATATGCCCAGTCGTCTTATACGCTGGAAAATACGGTATTTTAAAAAGGCAAAAATCCTAACGTACAAATCCATAACTGCAATACTGAATGGCAGCCTACATACCTAACAAATGAGGAAAATGGATAGAGACATACACACACTTTTAGGACAACACTCTCACCCTGAGTTTCCTCCCTGTTTGCCCTGAAGACCAGAGAAAAAAGGTCCAGGCGCTGAGATCTGGCCAGCCTAATCTTAACATCTGTTGTTGTTTTTTTAAAAAAAAATTCTATATTTTGTTGACAAGAAGGTTTGAGAGAGGAGGAGAAGAAGGATGATGGGAAGGTGTGTGGGTGCAACTCACGTACTCGGTTAGCCACAGCCAGGATGATGAGGTTGCAGTAGGCTTCGGGGCTGGGCTCTTTGGGGTCCAAGGGGTTGCCCCCTGTGTTCCTCCGTTCCCAGCTGCCGCAGGTCTTGCCCCTTTCCCAGCTCCCACTATAGGCCTGCCGACAGCGCTCCCAGCTGCCCCCAACTTTGCCCACTGGGCGACGCTCCCAGCTCCCGCTGTAGGTCTGCCGGCGTTCCCACGGTGGGCCACCGCCGGCCCTCTGCCTATTCTCCCAGCTGCCTGTGCCCTGCTTCCTCTCTAGGCTGCCCCCTCCGCTTGGCCTTCCCTCTTGACCACTCCGGGCCATCTTCCAGTCCAAGCTGCAGATGGTGTGGCGCCGCTCCATGGTGCCCCCCAGTGGCCGGGGTTCTATCGGCCGCTTCTCCGACGGACCGCTGGGGAATTTCTTTTCCTGCTTGCTTGCCGGGTAGATGTCCGAACTGCTCCCTGCGGGGACTGGGTCGACTCCCAAGCCTGGAAACCAAACCAAATAAAATGAAACAAATCCAAAAGCCTACGGCAGATATACTCACGAGTCTAGAAAACTTGGTTCAAAGAGATATCCCGAAAAACCTGAGTCGACTTACCTGAGTCTTAATTGGGTCAAAACTGACAAAATGAATTTTAATAGGGAGAAATGTAAGGTACACCACTTGGGCAGAAAAAAAGGACATGCCGAGATATAGGATGGGGGACACCTGGCTTGACAATAGTGCATCCACTGGGGTTTGGTTCCAGGACTCTCCATTGATACAAAAATCCATGGATCCTCAAGTCTCATTAAATAATAATGGCATAGTAAAATGGTGTCTCTTATATAAAATGGCAAAATCAAGGTTTGCTTCTTGGAATTTTAATTTTTTTAAAAAAATATTTTCAAGACATGGATACTTGCATCTGTGGATAAAAAATCTGTGGCTATGGAGGGCTGACTGTACATTTGAAAGAGATCTAGGAGTACTAGTAGACCACAAGCTGAACATGAGTCAACAGTGTGATGCAGCAGCTAAAAAAGCCAATGCAATTCTAGCTTTCATCAGTAGAAGTATAGTGTATAGATAGATCGAGGGACTGCAATTCCATCAACTCTAGACAGCAAGGCCCAGGTTAAGGGAAATATGTTTATCTTGAACAATGGGTCTTGTAGGTCTGGAACCTGGAGCCAGGATCACTCTACACTATACAGAAAACACTTTCTATGTGCCACTAGCAAAGGAAGGCATTCCACTTCTCTCATCACTCACAGAATCACAGAGTTGGAAGAGCCCTTAAGGGCCATCCAGTCCAACTCCATTTTGTCATGCAGGAAGACACCATTAAAGCCCTCTCTGTAACAGATGGCCATCTAGCATCTGTTTAAAAACACCCTCCAAAAAGGCGACTCTACCACATTCCAAGGCAGCATCCTCCACTGTTGAACAGCCCTTACCATCAAGAAGTTCTTCCTAAGGTTTAGGTGGAATTTCTTTTTCTGTACAATAGCCCCTCCACTTTTGCAGTCTTCGAGTCTGAGGTCTTGGTCCTTCACGGACTGGCAAGCCCAATTGGTTAAAATGGTACATGCACCCGCAGCGCACACGCAGGGCCACGCAGTCATTCAAGCCAATGGGACTTGAATATCTGCAATTTTCCATTTTCGTGGGGGAGTCTAGAATGAATCCCCCACAAAAACAGAGGTGCGAATGTAGTTTGAATCCATTGCTCTGGATCCTAGTCTCTGGAGCAGAGGAAAGCAGAATGACCTACCTTCAAATATTTAAACATGGCTGTCATGTCCCCTCTTAACCTTCTCTTCTCCAGACTAAGCATTCCCATCTCCCTAAGTTGCTCCTCATAGGACTTCGTTTCCAGACCTTTCACCATTTTGGTCACTCTCCTGATAATAGGGTGACTTGGAGGTCTCTCATTCTTAGGGTCCACAGAAGTTAACAATAACTGCTTTTAGTTATTGGTCAACCAATTACAAATCCACCTAACAGTTGCATCGCGTAGCCCACATTTTACCAGCTTGTTTGCAAGAATGTCATGGGGGACCTTGTCAAAGGCTTTATTGAAATCAAGATACACTACATCCACAGCATTCCCTTGATCTACCAAACTGGTCATTTTATCAAAAAAGAGGTCAGATTAGTCTGGCATGACTTGTTTTTGAGAAGCCCATGTTGACTTTTTATGATTATGGCATTCCCTTCTAGTTGCTCACCGACTCTCTGTGTAATGATCCGCTCTAAGCTCAATGCAGCACCCCCACGGCTGCTGGAGGAAGGAGATGCTGCCGTTTCAGTCTCAGCAATGCTCAAATGATGCAAGGGGACCAGCAGCATTTTCTCTGGATGCTATTACAAAGCCCAAGGGCCTTGGCAGACGACTAATAGGGTCGTCTCCGAGGCAGGGAAGAGGAGGGGCAGCCGCACGATCGGCGCCCCTTCCTCCTCCTGAGGTTGCCCTCAGAGCTGCCGGTCCTCCGCACTGCCGGCGCTCCGAGGGCAATCTCCCGCCGCAGCATCCGCACACGCTGCGGCGGAAAAGTCAGGGAAAGTGCGCCCTACGCTTTTAGGACGCACTTTCACTGACTTCTGAAAGGAGCGCTGATTTAGCGCTCCTTTCAGAAGCACCGACGGTGCGCCGCGGTGCGGCTGCGTCGCTCCGGCGGTGCACCGTCCCGCGGCGTCCCCGACGCCGTTGTCTGCTTCCCCCCCAAGGGTCACCCTCATCCTTCTGCTTGCCTATCTTTCTTATGGCTGGGTCTCCAGACAACTAAATAATCTGCCTGAAAGCTACAACCTGAAGCCTCTACATGTTTTTATATTCAATTACTTTTGACATGTTGCAGTAGATATAGACCTTGAGTGTTTGATCAAGAGTTTGCTGACTCTCTTCTCCCTCATCTGTTTTCATTTGCTTTCCACCTGCAGTTTGAGTGAGTGCCGATTTACATAATAAAGGCAGCCTGGCTAGCAAAGGTTGTAGAAATAAAAAAGAGCCACAGAGAAATATTCTCTGTTCTAAAGGCAGGTCAGGCAGCATGCAAATCCTGCTCAGGCATTCTCTGAAGAGGACAGTTACATTGGCTGGAAAACCAAAGTAGGTGAACTTGAAGAAAGAGAAAAATGTATTTTGATAGAAAGCAGAAGAAATAGCTAACAGGGTACTGGAGCTCCCTTCCTAAGGAAGCCAGAAAATGAAAATTTCCTTGTCCCCAAATTTCTAGCATTGCAACGAGAACAACGTTGAAAGCTGTCTGTATTCTGTCTGTTGTGGTTACACTCCCTTGGTCACTCTGCCTGCCTCCTTGTCTTTGAATATTTAAAAATTGTATTTTTAAATGCTCAGCTGAACTTTCAAGTTATTAATAAGTCATAAATGTAATTTTGGGGGTGCAATGCTCTGATTTTGCCCCACCCCATAGCTACATCTCTGCATAGCACACCCCATTAGATACAGAACCATAGCACTGTACAGTCAGAAGGAAGAATCATAGAATCATAGAGTTGGAAGAGACCACAAGGGCCATCCAGTCCAACCCCCCTTCTGCCATGCAGGAACTCTCAGTCAAAGCATCCCTGAGGATGGCTATCCAGTCCTCCAAAGAAGAAGACTCCATTGTTCTCTAAGGGAGTGTGTTCCACTGTCGAACAGCTCTCTCTGTCAGGGTGTTTCTCCTAATGCTGAGGTGGAATCTCTTTTCCTGGAGCTTGCACCCATTGTTCCAGTTCCTAGTCTCTGGAGCAGCAGAAAACAAGCCTGTTCCGTCCTCAATATGACATCCCTTCAAATATTTAAACAAGGCTATCATAGCACCTCTCAACCTTCTCTTCTCCAGGCTAAACATCCCCAGCTCCCTAAGTCGTTCCTCATAGGGCTTAGTTTCCAGACCCTTCAGCATTTTAGTTGCTCTCCTTTGGACATGCTCCAGTTTTTCAACATCCTTTTTGAATTGTGGTGCCCAGAACTGGACACAGGATTATTCCACGTGAGGAGGCCTGACCAAAGCAGAATAGAGTGGTACTAGTACTTCCCTTGAGCTAGAGACTATACTTCTACTAATGCAGCCTAAAATTGCATTGGCCTTTTTAGCTGCAGCATCACA